TAAAAAAATCAATTTTTTTTATATTTAATTATAAAAACGTTTGATGACCCGACCCAAAATTTTCAAGTCAATCTGACAGTATAATGATTATAACTCACTAATAATTACCAAGTTACTCTAGTTATACAGTTGTAAATTTATTTTAATTACGTATTTACTCACGTATTCTACAGTTTCGTTTTATAACAAAAATCTACCATCCAAATATCAGCTTTAGTAGACTTATAATGTCGGATATTCTAATGTATTGGTCACCAGCGCTTACTATTTCAAAAGGTATATTTACTACAAGACTGTTGCAATTCTTTTATATAAAAAATTTAATCAACTTTTTATAATTCAAGTACTATCGGTAATTTGTTCAATGTTGGCCGATCCAAACCCAGGTATATTATTATACTGGCTATCATTACATTCGTCATTTTATTGACTGATTTAGTTGATTCTTACCAATAAACCGATCATTATTAATAGAAGAACTAATGCCTGATACTGCTTATGTGTGTCAAGCTGACCGTAATCATTTTGAAACTATTGCTCATGATTAAGTCTTGCAAATATGCTGATAGTAAGTATAATTAATTAATACGATCTTTAATTAAAGATTTATATGTATAAGTACTGTTTTCAAGAATTATTTATTTTGTAATATTCTCATTTCAAATAAGGTAATCGATGGTATTGGGATTATTTCAACGAAGAAATCAAAGAAATAAAAGGTATACGTTACAAAGCAATGGTCTGTAAATTATTAAAAGATTCTGATAATACACCATGTGGAAAATCTTACGTTATGGGTCATAGCCAACCAAGTAATGATACAAATCATGAAATAATTCATTTAATAAACTGTCATGACATTTACGTTAACGAATACGGAAAAGTAAATCTACTTTTTTTTTATTAATTATTCATCTAAAAAAAATTATAATTATAGCATATTGATTTTAATTTTTAATTTCATAACGCAAAATTTTCAAAGAACAACAAGCAAATAGACATTCTGAAATAAAACAGGAAGAATTATGTAAAATGCTCACTGAATTGGTAATAGAAGATTCTCAATCTATAAACGTTATTACAAGATAAAAATTCCGTCAATTTATTCATAAACTTTAATCCTTTTTTCATTATGCCATGCCAGGAAACTTTAAATTCCATTATTCATGCATCCTATAACTCCTCATTCTTACAACTTCAACAATTTATCAAAATGAGCTACATCTATTTCTCTTGCAGTAGATACCCGGAAGGCTAAAAATCGTCATGATCAATTGCTCAGTTTTGGATCAAAAGTTCGAATTACATGAAATTACCTTAGATATTGCTGATATTGCTTATTTAAACCTCCTTATACTTCAGAATCAGCACATTTTGGAATTCAAGCTACATATGAAAAAGTAAAAGAAAAATATTGGTGGAAGAATATGAAACAAGATGTAAAAAAATATGTAAAAAGTTGGTAATGGTCCTATTACATCTATCCCAATCATATAAAAAGGTTCTTTTACTTCTATTGGATGTAATTCATGTAGTCCTTGTGGATTATTTCTTCTTTGACAATTATCACAAGAACAGAAGAAGGAAATAAATACATAGTAGTAGCAATAGATTTCTTTACAAAATGGCCAGAAGCAAAAGCAATAAAAGAAGCAAATGCAAAAGAAATATCAAAATTCATTTATGAAGAAATAATTTGTCAACATGGATGTCCAAAGAAAATATTTACAGATAATGGATCAGAATTTAATAATCAATTAACTAAAAATCTTACAGAAAAATTTAATGTTCAACATAAATTCTCGACTCCTTATCACCCTAAAACAAATGGATTAGTAGAACGATTTAATAAAACATTAATAGAATCATTGGCGAAATTAGTAAAAGAAAAATTAATGATATATAGAAATAGAGAATATGAAGATAAAAATTGGGATCAAAGAATAGCACCAATATTGTTTGCATATAGGAGTAAAATACAAAAATCAAGTAAAATGACACCATTTTATTTGACTTATGGAAGAAAAGTAATATTACCAGACAATGAAGAAGTTAAAAGAATTACAATGATTAAAAGGATAGAACATATAATAGAAGAATTACCAATAAAAAGATATGAAGCAAAGAAGAATATTGAAAAAGCACAAGAACAACAAAAGAAATATCATGATAAAATTGGAAAATGAAAACAAAATTTTCAAATAGGAGATAAAGTATTATACTTTGACGCAGCAAAATACAAAACACATACAGGAAAGCTAGAAGAAAAATGGAAGGGACCATATTATATACATGAAGTAATAATAAATGGATCATACAAAATTAAAGAATTAAATGGAAGAATTTTAAGAAGACCAGTAAATGGAGAATTATTAAAAGAATATTTTGATAGGGAAATATTTGAACCATATATAATAATATAATATGGTTGAGACCCAAGTTTGATTCTTAATTTATGGGACATAAATTTTCAAGGGGAGGATAAATGTAATAACTGAAAATATAATAAAATAGAATAAGGATAAATAATTAGCTGATGGATAAATAATTAACCGATGGGTAAATAATTAGCCGATAAAATTATATTTATAGTTTAGTTTAGTGTAACAAGATAGTCATATGATAATAGATCTTTTATTTTCTTAAATTTTCTTAAATTTTTATTAGAAAAAGATAGTAGATATTAGAAATGATTTTCTTAAAATGTACAAAAAGGGGTGGATTTCGTTAGTTCAATTTTTAGAAAATAAAAATTTTAGTTCGCCCTTAATAAAAACTAATACACTGTTTAGCCTTTTCTTATGAGAAAAGAAGACATTATTAATTTAATGTATATTGTAAATATTAAATTTGGGGAAACTATCGCAAAATTAATATTTGGGTAAGAAATAATGTTTTTGTAATTTTTGTAACTAATTTTTATTTTAAACCAAGCATAGATATTATTTGAACTCAACACGTCAGTGGCAACATACGATAATTTATTATCCTATGGGCAGCGTGTCACAAGGTCAGCGTATTTTGAACTAAAAAAAATCATGAAAATCTTTCCTTTTTTAGATAATTTTTGATAATGCCAGTCAGAATTTTATTTCCTATTATAGTAACAGACTGGCATTATCACAATTCCAGCCCTGAAAAAATGTGTACAGCAAATTTTTTTTCATCACCTGACCCCTATATATATATTTCTGGGTCCTAAGTTATCTATAAAAAAACTATTGTTATTAAAAAAATTCAAAAAAAAATTTAATATATCGATCTATTATTATTCCAAAAAATTTTTTTTTATTAATTAAAAATCTCATTAATCGTAATTTATTGTTACTAAAAAAAGTAATTGATGATTAAAATTTTTTTTTTAGTTCACAATAACACTACACTAATACTAATAAGTAAAAAAATTTAAATATAAACAAGCATAAGAATTTGTTCAAAATGCAAGGAAGGCTTTTATGGAAAATCAATTTTAGTTGTTAACGATTGTTAAAATCTGAAAGAATCTAATGCAAAAATATTAGTATAGACATACATATATACAGTATAATTTTTTTTATCAAGTACATCTATGTAAACAAAATTGGCTTTTTACATTGGTGAATTAATATTGAAGATAAAATGGTTCTTATATATTATATACGTTTTATTTATTTTTAATTTAAATATAAGTATAAAACAGTTATTTAAATGACTTATATAAAGAACTTTCAAAAGTTTAATTATCCTTTATTGATAAAAAAAACAAAAAAAAAATAAAATAAAAATACAGTTATAATTTAATAAAAAAAAATCTCGAAATTCCTAGAACTATTAATGTTCAATAAATTCTAGAATATATATTCATATATTCATATATTTTAGTAAATATTACACTTAGTTTTATTACAATGAATCAATAGCTATTTTATGAACTGTACTATAATCCATCAATATGGTTAAATCTAAACTGTTGCTAAATTTTTTAATTCTTTTTTTTCTTGGTTTAATTCTAATTTCAATTCATTCAAATTCTTTCTTAATGAATTTATATCTTCTGACATCATATTAGTATTTAATTGAATTCTAGTTCCTTCCTGAGAATTAGTAGCAAATTTAAAAATTTTGTATTTATCAAGATCAAAAGAATTCAACTTAAGAATATTTTCAGTTATGAGGCTAACTTCCAACTCTTTATTTTCCTGAACAATTTTCTTTAAGGAATAATAATTTTTGTTCAACTCTAACAATCCATCATTATATTTTACAAGAATACTTTGAAATTCTTTAGTATATTTATCAGTCAATTTAGAGGTTTTCATATCTCTAATAGAACCAATAGTATTTCTTTCCTTATTAATAGAACTTTCTAGATGATTACAGCAATTTTGTAGTTTTTTAATAGCTTCTTCTCGTAAAGTTAAGAAT